GGCTTGGACAGATTCCAAGTGCTTGTACAAATGTGCTAAAGAAATTATACTTTGAGTATACAGCTTGTCCAAAGTCATTCATTATTAATACTAGTAGTAATATCTTCGGTAAAGGCTTTGATGCATAAATATTTCTGATAAAGGTAGGTTGTGTACTTTTGTCCAACATAGCAATCTTGCTTTCATAAAATATATCAACATTTTAATGACTGATGATTAACATGCTATAATACACAGTTCAAATTTAAAAGCCCAAATGCTGTACATGAGAGGTTAAACTCCCTCTGGCGGTTTTACAAGGTGATGCTGGATACTTTCCGGCATGACGTCAAATGATGCAATTATCCCCGTGATACTGCATGATACCGCGACATGCCCACCGGGGTATACTGCGAAATACCCCACCCATTTTTAATGGCTGCATCTGTATTTGGCATTTCCTGAACAGCCTAGCTAACCCCCGTCTCACCACTATGCATAGGGTCTTTATCGCTCTTCTGCCATTCCACGGTTTGTCCCATCAGACATCCGTGACACCCACCCGCAAGGGAATGGGCAGGTGGAAAGGTTTAATCATACATTGCTGCATTGTCAGCTGCACTGTTGAAAGCACTGACAGAAAAGCAGAAATCAAACTGGAAAGAGTCTCTCAACAAACTGATCTACTGTATGCTTACAATTGCATGAGGTGTGAAGTGACAGAATATTCTCCCTTTTATCTCTTGTTTCACAGGTCTCCCAGACTGCCCATCGACATACTCTTTGGTCTCAACACTGAGATGGATTCTGCCAATCAAAGTAAATATCTGGAAAGATGGAAACAAAGAATGCAAGAGGCTTATAAAATTGCAAAAGATCATGCCAAAAACACTTTAGACAGAAATAAGAGGAACTATGACAGCAAAGTGAGATACACTGAATTACAACCTGGAAATCGTGTACTGTTATAGAACTTGTCTCCACGTGGAGGTCCGGGAAAGCTGCAGAACTACTGGGAGGATAGTATCCATGTTGTCGTATGCCAAGTTGGGAAAGATGTAACTATTTATTAATTAAAACCTAAAAATCGCAAGGGAGGATCCAGAATACTTCATCGTAATGTTCTACTACAGTTTGAATACCTCCCTTTAGAAACTGAAACAGAACCAATCACTAATCCAGCACAGTGACCTTCAAAAAGGAAAAGGAATGGAAACCAGTCATCAAGAGAAATTGAACCAACTGCGGAGAGTGAAAATGAGTTCTACTACTACTACAACAATAGCTTCTAGTCACTGTCTCACCGCCCTGCTAAGCAGCTGAAAGATGTTAAAGACCCTGTATTTCTTCCAAAACAGATACCTGATCAGGCACAATGACCAAGCTTACCAGGACGTTTTCCAAACAATGTTCCAGACTTCCCTCTGTCTGACCTACTGTAAATCCAGCTGCTTTACCTTCTTCAAAAGATAAGCCAGACTTACCTGTGTGTGAATCCAGTCCTGTTCCTGGTTCCCAACTGAGCAGCGAGCAAGATGTACCTACCCGTGAACCAGATGCCATACCAGTACAAAACCATAAGGAAAGGGTTCCTCAGAGACAAGGGCATTTGCAGTTTCCCATGAGAGATCAAAAGACCGCCATGGCATTTTACTTATGACAACTTAGGAAATCCTACATGCTATAGAGTGCATGTATCACCTCACTATAATGATAATAATAAACTTTATTTTATATAGCGCCTTTAAGGGTGGCTTCTCAAAGCACTTTACAGGATGAAAATAACAATAAATAAGCTTGATCCACCCACCCACACCCTGGTACGCCTTGCAGAATTGGTCCTCACACTGAACGCATTCTCTTTAAATAATCTTTTTTACCAACAGGTCAGTGGAGTTGCCATGGGCACCAGAATGGGACCCAGCTAT